TTTTTAAACTTTTTCAGGAAAAGTTCTTGTCCATGGGAATGCAGGAATCTCCAGAAGGTATGAAGGTAGACAACCTTGGATCTTGTGTTTAGTTATGAGTTGTTTTCTAATTGTTTCTCTGTCTTCAGTGCTGCCTTCGTTATTGCATACATCATGGAGACATTCGGGATGAAGTACAGGTAAGTGAGTATACTCAAACCTAGTAGTACTTCACTTCACCTAAATGAACTTAATAGAAATAGTTGGGAATTTACAGCTAAATATTCCTTTTTGAAAAAAAATATATAGTCATAATTGATTAGACAAAGCTGGAAAACTTGTTGAGAATTGGTTTGTCTCAGTTTAAAAACTCTTGGTACAGATTTTGGTGTTTATTTCAATTGATGCAATACTAGATGTGATAGAATATGCCAGTAATCAAAATACTCAGCAGACTAAAGTAAAAGGATTACTGTAAATTCAAGCCAAAGCCTGGACTGCATAACCAAGGCTATAGATCAAGACTGTGTCTAAGAAAAGAAACTTAAGTCACACACTTTTACTAAGCAATGAATTAAAAATTAATTAGAAGTTGTCTGTAGCACTTGTTTATAAACAAAGCTGGTATGGAGTATTACCTTTCTTGTGAAAGAAAGCTGGAGATCTTGTCCTGTCCTTGTTAATAAGTCTGTATTACTTCCAAACTGAAAAGTTTTTCCTTATTTGGACTAGAGAAATGGCTGAAGACCTGGTTCAGTCAGTACCCCGGTGCCCTCTAGCTGTCTGTTAATAATTTCAGGGGATTGAATACTTTTTTCTGCCTCCTGCAGGCTCCACACACACATAGATGATGCAGACAAAGCTCTCATACACATTGTTTTTAAGTAGTTGCCTCTGATAGATTTTAGGAGTGTGGAAAGCATTGCTTTCAGTTATATACCCATTGATGACCCTACCAGGCTCTGATACATAGTTCCAACTCAGGGTCACACACTGAATGGGTCTGTTGTGTGACAAAACTTTTCTTGTGCAGATGCAGTACACACATCTACTTACCTCAGGTGTGGAGCCCATGACAAGTCAAAGTATGGATATTACCACAGCCCAGCTTGGTGAACCACTGAATTTTATTGGGGTTACTGACAGAAAAATGGGTGAGGAGTTACTTAAAGAAGAAAAATGAATCAGACAGCTGCATCGCCAAGCCCACCCCTGCTGTGGATTAATGCTCTTGTACACTGTAAAGATTTGTCACTCATACTGATTTAATAAAACACTGATTGGCCAGTAGACAGGCCGTTTAGGCGAGGCTACCAGACTAGGAGAATTCTAGGAATAGGAAAGGCAAAGATGAAGTTGTCAGCCAGACACAGAGGAAGCAAAATGAGAATGCTTCACATGTGGCTTGGTGTGGATATGGCACCTAGGAATAATGAAATAGGACTGTGGTTCTGTACTCAGAACTCTTTTGAGGCCCTGTAATTAGAATGAATCCATGTTAAATCCTTTAACAAGGATTCATTGGAAGGCAAATCTGCTACCAGCAACCACAGTAATTCCAGCACCAGTAGCGTATATTAAAAGTTGCTACAGTTAAAAAATTCATACTTGGATCTTGGGAGCTTGTGGCAGTCCGCGGCACCCCTTTGATAACTCTTAGCTGGCACCCAAAGTGTTTACCTTGAAAAAATTAGAGTGTTCAGAGATTAAGTGGGAGGTGTGGGGATTCATTTCAGCCAATAGCCTTTTGAATACTAACCCATTAGGGCGTGATCTGAGGTACTATAAGCACAGACAGGAAGCAATATTGCTCTCTCGGGTGGTGGTCAGAGATCTGATTGCAGCTGCTAGCACACACAGAGGCACACAGAGGACTGCCATAGCTCTCTACCTTGTTGTGTTACTCAATAAATAAATAACCACCCCCTTTAGCTTACAGGCTTTTGTGGGCTTGCTTACGCATGACAATACACCCCAGCCTGGGTGACAGCTCACAAAAGCTGGAAATCTTTAACACACTGTATAGGTTGGAGAATATACTTTTCATGTGACTTAGTTCTTGTCTGTAAACCTTTCAGGCAATTTAGTAGTTATCAGCTTCTTCAAGGCAGTTTAGCTTGTCTGAAAGTGTCTCTTGAGTGTTCTTTACTCTTTGGAGCTAGGGGCTTGTCAATCTGGTCAATTTCAAGAACTTCCTGAAGCTATTGAGTTGTTTGCTTTAGTTTCCCTGCAGGAAGGAATGTTTCAACCTTGGAGGAAACTGTTACACAAATAGGGTTGCAACACCAAAAGTGATTAATCCCTGAAAGGGATTTGCAGACTGAAGAGGCAGGGTCCAAAGCCCTAGAGGGGAAGGGTGGGGGGTTGATAGGGATGGGCAGGTGATAAGAGGGTTGGGGGGGGCTTGTATACATGTGTGAAATTGTCAAAAATAATTGATTGATACAGTTTTTAAATATTTGAATACAAGTGTAGATGGAGGCTGTTCGTTTGTTCTTGGTTGCTCAGACCCAAAATAATCACACAGAAACTGTATTATTTGCAATAGCTTAAGCATATTTCTAGCTAGTTCTTATATCCTAAACTAACCTATCCTCATTAATCTTTGCATCACCATGAGGCTGTGGCCTACCGGCAAAGTTTTCAGTGGGCTCCGGGGAGGCTTCTCCCTGACTCTGCCTTCTTTCTCCCAGCATTCAGTTTAGTTTTCCCTCGTACGTCTATTCTGCCCTATCACAGGTTAAAGCTGCTTCTTTATTCATTAACCAATAAAAAGCAACACATACAGAAGGACTTCCCACATCATATAAGTACTTGAAAAAATATTTAGCATACATCAATAGACTACATTTGGTAATTCTTTTTATTTGGAATCTTGTCAGTAATATTCATCATCTCTTGATTCCATTGTGCTTACTATTAGATGTCACATGAAGCTTTATAACACAAGGCAATTAATTACTCATTTAATATTTGAACATGTGTCAGGTATGCCACATGCACAAAGTGCTTTACACTTCTCTCACCTTCATTGTAGTCCCCCCAAATCAGTATTATATTATCTATTTTACCAGCAAGAAAAAGTGGTGCAAGTTCCCTGTGATAGGTGGTAAGCCTGGGAACTGTGAATTTAGTTGACCCAGCTTCTGTCCACTACAACTTACTACTTCTCTATATTATTAAACTGTATGAATATGATTTCCTACTTAGGCAGAATTTTTAGGTGGTTTTTAATGTTGTAGTTTTTATCTGCTGTATTAGGGACTGAACCCCAGGGCCTTGCATAGCTAAGATCTATCCTCAGCCTTAGGGGAAATTTCAAATAAATTCTTAATGAATAAAAAATTTTTTTCATGACTTTCCTTATATTAATTTTACTTCTGTTTTCAGAGATGCATTTGCTTATGTCCAAGAAAGGAGATTTTGTATTAATCCTAATGCTGGATTTGTCCACCAACTTCAGGTAATAACTCTCTTTAAGGATTGAAATGTCTATGCATCTTAGGTATAGAATTTTATTTTGTAAATACTTGATATTACTATAATTTGACTAAATTGATGATTGCAGTTTGCATCTTTATTGAAATGTTCTTTTGGTTTGGGTTTGGGTTTTCTGAAATAGTTTCTATTATGTAGCCCTGGCTGACCTGAAACCCTCTATGTAAAGTAGACTGGCCTCAAACTTACAGAGATCCACCTGCCTTTGCCTTCTGAGTATTAGGATTAAAAACATATACCTCTTCACCCAGCCCTTTTTTCTTAAACTGGTCTTGGTGACACATGTCTGTAATCCCAGCACTTAAGACACTTGACGCAAGATTGTTGTGAATTCAGCCAAGCTTGGACTGCAGTTGGAGTTACCAAGAAAATGGGTTAAAAGTACATAGTTAAATACAAGGTAGAGGCCAGGTGGTGGTGGTCCACACCTTTAGTCCCAGCTCTCATGAGATAGAGGCAGGCAGATCTCTGTGAATTTGAACCCAGCCTGGTCTACAGGGCAAATTCCAGAATAGCCAGGACTACACAGAGAAGGACTGGGGAGATAACTTACTAGGTTGAGGTGCCTAATAGCAAAGAACCAAATTGTCCTGACCTTCACACACACACATCAAATGTGTTTCTTTCTCCAGTAAGTCAATTTAAATAAATGAATGAATGCAAATAAAAAATATATACAAGGTAGAAAATGTGGTGATTCCCCATCCCCCAAGTTTTACAGTCCTGAAAACTGCAAAATGAAAGCTAGTCACTACATAGTAAGTATATGAGCTCATTTTTCTGTTTTTTTTTGTTTTTTTTTTTGCGCCTTGCACAAAAACATTCATTTTACAGTATATTTTTGTACTTGAAAAAGTAGGGTATAATATGATAAATAAAATGAAAATTTAGCATTGTGGAAGAATAAGATGTAAAGTTAAGTCCTTTTAATAATATATCTTGAAGAAACCAAGTATAATGTCATATGCTGTAATCTCATTTAGGAAGGAGATACAGGTATATAGAAATTAAATATATTTGAATAAATATGTTTAAAATAATAACATCAAGCATATTTCTGTAATGCAGTCATTCGTCACAGAATGTTTCCATGCATAATGGGCTGCATATACAGTGGTCTCATATGACTACAGTAGAGCTGAAGGTATCTTATTACATAATGGCCTTGGAGTCATGATACCATTTTAGTGCAGTGTGTTACTTTTTTTTTTTTTTTTATGTGTATGGATGTTTTGTCTGCATGAGTGTCTTTGTAGCAGGTATGTGCCTGGTGTCCTCGGATGCCTTGGTACTGAGTTAGAGATGGTTGTGAACCACCATATTGGTGCTAAGAACTGAACCCCCAGTCCTCAGAAGGAACAGGCAGAACTCCTAATCACTAAGCATCTCTCCAGCCCCCACAACTTGCTACTCTTGGGTTTGTTGTGATGCTGGTAGAAACCTGCCATAGTTGACACTCTAGTGGAGGAATGCTTTCTTATGGGAAGGTCATTCTGGCTAATATCTTCAGTGAAGACTGTAGAGAACACTGAAGGCAACTGCCAGAAGGAAGGTGACCAGTTAAAAGAGGTATTCAGAGAAGTCAAGAGAGAATAATACTGGGAGCTGTAGTGAGATGGTTTAGTGAGTAAAGGCACTTGCTACCTGGCAGTAAAGCCAAAGACCTAATTCTGATCCCAGGAATTCATGTAAAGAGAACCAGCTCCACACATTTGTACTCTATCCTCCACGTGTGTGCTGTAGCAAGCATGTCCCCACATGCACATACATACAAACAAGAATAATAAAAAAGATTGGCTTAAACAAAAGTGGTAGTGGAGGGAAAATAGATCAAGGTTTACTTGAAAGTGTTGATAGCTTGGTAGGACTTGTTACCTGATGGTTATAGGTTCTGAGGGTATGGAGATAAAGATGGATCTCTGTTACCTGATGGATATAGGTTCGGGGGCGGGGGTGAGATGAAACCCAGTCTTCGAAAAACAAAAAAGATTACAGATTTAAATTTTAAGGCCCCTCTACCATTTGTACTAAGTTTAACATAGAATTAGACCATTATAGCTAATGCCCCAGTGGTAGAAGATATATCATCTGTCTGTCAGTGAGCTATTGGCACTACATAATTTCTAATTATCAGTAACAGACAGTTACCAGATAGGGATTGTGAACCTTCGTTCCTTTTGTGAGAATATGGTACCAGTCTTTTGACTGTAACTTAAGAATACAAATATCTACCTAATCATTGTTTGGTGTATTTAAGAATATAAATGTATGTCTGAACTAATTAAAATCTTCTTATTAGGAGTATGAAGCCATCTACCTAGCAAAATTAACAATACAGATGATGTCACCACTCCAGATAGAAAGGTCCTTATCTGTTCATTCTGGTACCACAGGTAAGGGTGTTTTCTTTTTCGGAAATTGAAGGTTAATGGTGGGGGGAAGTAGTACTACTGGGCAATCTAAGTTGTTTAGAAACTTTTAATAAGATTTCAGAAGGATTAGCTTTCTAGTAATAAACAATGAGTGTACCTCTGTTCATAACTATAATTCATAGCCAATTACAGTAACCATTTGAAGATCACTTGGTTTAATTTTCTGTTAAGTTGTATATAAAACTATATTTGAAATTCAATATTGTAGCTACTGTGAGCTACCTCAATTTCCCACTACTACTATTTTGAGTTTTTGTTTTTAAGCTTTATTTTTTTAAAAATATTTATTTATTTATTATGTATACAATATTCTGTCTGTGTGTATGCCTGCAGGCCAGAAGAGGGCACCAGACCCCATTACAGATGGTTGTAAGCCACCATGTGGTTGCTGGGAATTGAACTCAGGACCTTTGGAAAAGCAGGCAATGCTCTTAACCTCTGAGCCATCTCTCCAGCCCCCCTTTAAGCTTTATTTTATGTCTATGAGTGTTTTGCATATATACATATACATACACACACACACACATACACACACACACACACACATACACATATACATATAAAATCACCATGTACATGCCTGGTTTCTGAAGAGATAAGAAGGTGGCAGCAGATCTCTGAAACTTGAGGTATAGGTGGATATAAGCCACCAGGTAAATACTAGGAACCAAACCTAGGTCGTCTGCAAGAGTAGCCAGTATTCTTAACTGTTGAGCCATCCCTCCCCCGCAATAGTTGTTTTGAGACTGGGTCTATGTAGCACTGACTGTCCCAGAACTGACTATGTAGACCAGGCTGACCTGAAACTTAACCTAGTGAAATGACTCAGTGGGTTAAAGTGCTTGCTTCTGGGAGCAGGAGAGATGACTCAGAGGTTAAGAGCACTGGTTACTCTTCCAGAGGTCCTAAGTTTGATTTCCAACAACTGCATGGTGGCTCACAACCATCTATAGTGGAATCTAATACCCTCTTCTGGAATAAAAGCATACAAGGTGTGTATATATAGATAGAGCATTCATATACATAAAATAAATTTAAAAATCTTTAAAGAAAAGAAAAAGAGCTTGCTACTGAAGTTGACAACCTGTCTGGTCTCCTGAACCTATATGGTATAGGTGAAAACTGCCCCTACCTTCCAAGTGACTGAATTAAAGTTAAAAGCCACCGTCCCCAACTACTACTTTGATCTCTCCTCTAGTTTTAGAATAACTCACATCCACTTATTTCTTAGTTAATAGTCTAAGCAAACTCTCAATTTTTTTTTGATATTTCCAAGTTCTTGCTACTCATTTGTAACTGTTCTTGCTGAGCTGGCATTTAAGCACAAGTCCAGAACACACCTTTCAGGCCAGATGTTCTTTCTTGGGCTCAGCTTCCCAGATATCCTTGACTCTTTAATTTTGACCCTCTTTCTAATCACTGTTTAAACACTATAATATTTGTCAGAATCTTTAAAGTACACTTCCTTCTAAATAGTACTTTAAAGGCTAGTTAGGGCAACACAAGCTTTTTGCTAGATTATCCTGGTATATTCTGATTCTGTACATTGTACTCAAATTTATTTTCTTATTTGTAATGATGTTTTTGTTTTGCCAAAGACTTCATTGACTATTCTTACAGAAGTGTAGATGGGGAAATCCAAAATGAGCATGCCAGTTTAAGAGAACCCTAATGGTTCTCATGTAGAGCCACAGGCAGCAAAGGTAATAAATATGTAGTAAAAACCCTTCTGACTTTTCAGTTTGTCTCATTGCTCCTCTTTGTGTCTACACTCCAAAAAACTAAATGGATGGTCTTCTGTAGTGTTTTTCTTACTACAGTGCATAATATTCCTCTTCCCTGTTCTCACACATAGCTTAGACACCATCTCCTCAGATGAGGCAGGGTAAGTGCACTCTTCTCCAACCCCCAGGTGTAGAGTCCTGGAGAAATGCATTACTTTGCCTGTTGAGCCTTAGGCGTTGCTTTCCACTTTGACTGTATTGATACTATATTTGCATCTTTACTGATCTTCTAGAGAAGAATAACTTGTTTAGAACTTGTGATCTAAATTATATTATGACTTAGCACAACTCTAAATCTAAGGCCATGCTGTTGTTAGTCACAGAACACAGCTAGCTGCTGGCTCAACTGTTCCTTCAGGTTCCCCTTCATAAGACTCCTTTCTGAATGTAACTACAGGCATGTAGAGAATTCTGATTCTTTGTGGGATGTTTTTGTAAAATTGACTCTGGTGTAGGGAATAAATCAGAATTTTTAATCTGCTATATACTGTCCTTGCTCTTAAACCATAGGTCTGGAATGATAAAGCCACAGCTTTAACAGAAAGTATTTTCAACTGCTCTCCTTCATACAGCAACTCTATGAACATAAAAACTATATCTAAAAATCATAGAAACACAAACTCACCTACTAGATGTGGTGTCCTATGACATGTTAATGTTGCCTAAAAAGCATAAAATTGATGGTAACCAGATTTAATGTACTACTGACTCTTGAAATGTTTTACTTTTCATGCTATTTTAAAACTAATGTTTATTATGTGCAATACCCAAGATACTGTTACTAAAGTAACTTTATTCATGATACAACAAAAAGAGTTTACTAAAGTTTGCTATAAATTCAAGCATGAAATTTTTGTAATACTTATGTATAATATCACTTAGTGGAAAAATATATTTTGGCTCCCTGTAGTATCTGAACATGAATTTTCACTTTATATCACTCAGGTAGTCTGAAGAGAACACATGAAGAGGAGGAGGATTTTGGAAACATGCAAGTGGCAGCTGCACAGAACGGCTGACTCTGAGCACTGTCACACAGATGTGAATTTCTGTTTAGAAAGGAGGAGATCCTAGTGATAATATTGTAAAGTGGTAAAAACACAAATAGTTTCTTTTCAATTATATGTTGCTTCCAGACATGTTTCTCTGCAACTTGTTGAGCAACACTTTTAAGATATTGGACTTCTACAGTAGATGGCGCTGATGGGTGATGGGTTTGCTTTAAAATAACAAAACAAAACAAAAAAACACTTTATGGTTTTTTTATAAACCAAGAATTTTGGACTTGCAAAAAGGTATTATTGCAATAATGCACTTTTCATACTTGAAGTTTATTTGTATGATATAAAGTTATTACTTTAAACAAAATGCAAGTTAGGGGGATTTGTTTATAATTTTTGGATAATTTATAACAAACAAATTTCCTAATGTTTCCTAAAAGCTCATTTTGTGTTATATATATTACATTTAAAGTAATTTCAATTTTCTGATGAAGCCTCTTACAGAAACAGTAACAAAATGTAGAACTTTTTCACATTTTTTAATATAATTCAGCAACTTAATTACCATTTTTTTAAACTTCTTGGTCCCTTATTTTTAAATCATGATTTTAGCCAACCATCCTACTTTACTAATTTAATCTAATTAATACTCCTTTCCCATTGCCTTCCTTATTGTAAACAAGAAAAAAATTGTAATGATGAAAGAGGTCTTACTTATTTTCAAAAATAAGGATAGTGTTATATTTCCACCTGCTGTTTTTCTTTTTGCTGTTTGTTTAAGTCAAATGTTGACTTGGTCTTTTTAGAGTTGCCTAGCCCTTTTCACCTTTGTCCAAGATGGTTCAAAGTAGACTTTTAAGAAACCAAACCAATGTAGCACTGTTTCTTCAATATGAAACCCCCAAAAGAAAAGTGCCTTGCATCAACCAATTAAATCCTCATGACCTCTAAATTAGATAGCAGTATAAAGCTATTAACATTTTTTGTAAATTTTTTTGTTTTTAAACCATAAATTAAACTAAATCTGTGAAGCTTGAAGAAAGTAAATTATTTGGAATAATATGAGACATTTACTTCATTTCATGTTGTCTTGCTTCTGTGAGGTTCTTAAGCTGACTGCTTTGAAAAATCATTGGATAAAGCAGTTTGTGGGTGGCTTCAGGGTTTTGTAAATTACTGTTTTAATTTGTTCTTAAATTAGTTCAAATTTACCCCATAATTTGCAAAGTCACTTTATGGCTCTTTAGTTTTCCATGTTTTTATCTATTTGTATAAAAGTTGTTCTACAAAAAACATTTTGCTATTTTAAGTGTGATGTTCAGAAGAGAGAAGTGTTTTAACCTTCTGTGTTTGATGACTTTAGGGTAGCACAAACACAGATCCTTTGTAGCTCACAGTCCTCTCTCGAGGTGCTTTACTGTTGGGAATGATGTCTACATTTCCAGGGTACCATGCACTATGTGAGATAGCGTGTTAGTTTCTTTGCTGTCCATCTTACGGTGTTAGAGTACAGAGAAGGCTCTGTTCTGCACAGTGGGAGCCGAATGTAAACCAGAAGTACTATTAACTAGACTTAATTTCTCTTTGGATTTCGCATTCCACCCTAAAACCAGCATTGTGATCCACTGTTCTCTTGTGTCACTGCTATGGTGGACTAGTGGAGTCAAGATTATATTGGGTGTTCAAAATTCCTGTGTACACATCATCACTGGAAAGGTCAACAGAGTTCTCTCACAGTCAACTCAATCTATGATTCATTGAACAGAAATTGTGCTTAAAGTAATCTCCATAAAAATGATTTTTCAAGATGAGACATTTGAAATAATTTTTTAAGTTTCATAAAAATACATATTATATCTCTTTAAGAGTTTGACCAGAATTATAGGTTATTGATAGTCATTTATAGCTGATAATTTGTCATTTTTCTAACCTGTCATTTTTTATGTTCTCACATAAAGTGCCTATCCAGCACGATATACTGGAGACAGTCTCAGACATGAGAGACTGCTATCACGTTGAGCACAGTTGATGTGAACAAATGAGGTTTGTTCTTTCATAAGAAGCCTACAGTTACTGTATTTACTAAGTAGCTGTCTTAGGTTCCATTTCCAGTGATGTTTTGTAACAGTCAGCTATGATAAACTTAACCAATCATGTCTTATTCTCTAGACAAACTTAATGATTCACCCAGTTTCAACATTAATATGTAATCAGGGTTCAGAATTAAGATTTTTACCAAAACATAGGGAACTTCATTACTCCCCTTTTTGAAAGTTTTGAGACAGATACTGAACTTTGGAGTGGGGTGTCTTCTTTTATCTTAACTGGTTCATGTTAATTTCTTGTCTATTAGATGTTGACTTGTACCAACTCTGTAGTAGGAATGTTCAAGTGTGATAGCTTTGCTACCAACTTTGAACCACTTGTAGAGCAGAATATTCATTTGCAAGGGTATGGGGTTGTGCTTAATCTCAGTCTAGAAGTAATGTCAGAAATGCTAAGCATGCCCTTTGTAAGAAACCTTAAGGTTCCTAATTGTTTAATTACTATGATAATTCAAATTAATTAGAAGTATTTAAGTGCAATCTTGAATTATGAAGTTGAGATGTATATATTAGGATCTCAACTTGATGTAAAGTAAATGAGCAGTTACCTGACGAATTTTTTTTAAATAACAGGTTTAATCCATAATCCTAAAGCATAGCTTCACTTCAGTATTTGTTATTTTTGTCCATTCAACAACACTCCAATAAGGAAATGATAGGAAATAGCTGAGACTTACTCAAGGATTTTATTTATTTTTTTTTTAATTAGTAAGATAAGTTTCTAGAGTCTTGAGTGCTGGATATTCTTTGTCTTTCCCATTCATGGCAGCTAAAATAAAAAAAAATCACTCAAAATGTTCAGGTTTACATGTTAAGCTCTCACAGGGAGCAGCCATACCTCACAGTTCAAAGTGTTTTCTCAGTCACATGATACTGACATGTAATTGCAATTTACTATGCAGCAAAAAATGATTCAAGAAGAATAACATACAGTGTCTAGTTACCTCTGTATAGGCATTGCTTACGTTACTCTGCTTTTAACATTTGTACTCAGATAAAATGCTTCTGTATGTATAGGAATGTCACAGATGCAAGATGCTGCTAGCCTGGGCACAAAGTATTAAAATTATTTTGTGAAGACTGGTGGTTGTATTAAAACTGCTGTGCTACTGTACCTCAACAAGTGATTGAGAAGCTCCCTCATACTGCTTAGGCCTCAAAACGTCTTAGCCTTCTGGGTAAAAGTAGCCCAGCTTTACTCCCACAAATTAAGAAGGGTGAGTGAACATTTAATATTGAAACTGTTTTCAGTTGGTGACACAATGCAACTGTTTCTGTAAAGGGGGGTTTAAGAGAAAACCTCAAAACTCCATGGTATTATTAAAACACTAACATAACATCTTAACATTAGACCTCAGAGTCTAATGGTAAGATATAGAATACGGTATTCAGTTTTCCATTGAGGACAGGCTTATTTAACATGGGTAAAACTTCATGAAAACTATTTTCACTAGTGATAGGTCACTAGTGGTAGGTCACTGAACCAACTGTCAGAGGTAAAATCTGTCCCTCTACACTTAAAAGTATTTCTATTCTGGAAAGTCAACTAATGATTAGAGGGAAATCCAGATCCAATGGAAGTAACCCAAAAATACATAAAACTACACTGTTATGAGCCATTTCTTAACCTCAAAGACTCCAGCCTATTGCAGTGATGCATGCCTGTAATACAAGCTCTCGGAACATGCATGGAAGTTCAAGGTTCTTTCTTGTACTACATAGTGAGTTCCTGCTAGTCTGGGTTACAGGTCGCCCTGTCTCAACAAACAAGAAAAACACAAGATTCTAATGAGATACTATTCATATAAACAAGTTTAATGTAAATAACATGGAATGCAAAAAAGATTAGAACAATTGTTAATAAAGTGTCTAATTCTACCTTTAAAAATCATTAAAATAAATAAAACATGACAATGATCAGAATAATAATACCATTATAATCATATAAATAGAAAAGCTACTGTTTTTTAAGGATGGAACAAAGATAGTACCACACTTTTTTTTTTTTTTCCAACTCAAAAGCTTCAGATGCCCATGATATGGAAACCAGGGTGAAAGTGCCTCCACTGAGAGCTGCTCCCCCACTGATGAAAGAACCCTGGGTCTCTAGACCTGCCCTTGGATGATTCTAACATCACTTGACAGACGAGACAGGTGGTGCATTATCTGCACAGAACTACACCAACACTTAGTAAAATAGTTATTTAAACTGTTGTACCTTGTCCAAGTTGTGTGGAATATTAGGATCAACAATGTTTAGATGTGCAAATAAGTACCTAGTTATAACAATAGATGTGTCCAACTCCCTATAATGTGAGAAATGTGATGTACCCTTAAGTCTATTTAGGTATATGAGGCAAAAATAATTTTATGTGATAAAAGCCTTATTCAATATATATACATATATTTAAAAATGAGCAGCACAGAGCAGATACAACTCTTTACTACCCATACTCTTGACTACTTCAGAAATGAAGACAAACTTTAGAAAAATACAATGCAAGAAAAGATTCAAGTTGAAAATATATTCCTTTGGTTAAAAACCATCCCCTTTATGATTATTTGTATTCTTTTAACGCAGAGCAGTCGCAGCAGCCACAGGCAGGCTCTTGTGTCATGACTACAGTTGCTTCCAGTCTAGAAGGTATGGGGCTCACTGGGCTGCAGCAACAGAAATGAACGGGAAAGCCCTGGAGCATTATCTTGACGGTGTTCTTTACTTTAGGTACCTCCGACACATGTAATTTTCTTCAGACACTGTATAGCCAAACTTTTGGTAGAAGCCAACGTTTTGTGGTAGACATTCAAGGGTGATCTTGTAACAGTTCAGCTTCTTGCTTAGCAAGGTCAGAGTTGATAATAACCTGAAATTTTGAAAAGGGAAGTGTGGGAGACAGTATTAACCAAAATGGGCCTTGATGGTGACACAGATTAGGGTTATACAAATAAAAGTAGCATTTACTCAGTATTCCCTTACATACACAAATTAAGCTGATAAGCATTTAAATTCCAGAAACATTTTTATTTTGTTTCAAACACAGTTAAACTACTAACTAATTCAGCCTACACCTCTTTTTTTATTATGGGAGGAGGGGTACAAGTACAGCATGAATGGAGGTCAGAAAAGGACAATTTAGTGTAGTTTTCTCCTGTAGATGGGCTCTGGGAATCCAACTCAGGCTTACCCTACAAGTGCAGTCACCCTCTCACCCATCTCGCCAGCCTCTAAACCTTTTTTTAAAAATAAATTGTAACAATTTATGAGGTGCTGAAGAAATGATTTTCCAGAGGACTAGGGTTCAATTCCCAGTACCCATACAGCTGCTAACTGTATCTCCACTTGCAGGTGATCTGTTACCCTCTTCTGGCTTCCTGACTTCTACAGGCATCAGACACGCAAGTGATTCACAGACATATCCAGGCAAAATACCTATATGCATAAATTTTTTACAAAATTCACACAAAGGGCTACAGAGCTGGCTTAGCATTAAGTTAAGAACATTTTAGCTGCTCTTGAACCTGACTCCTGATTTGATTCCCAGCACCCACATAGTAGCTCACAATCATTTGTAACTCTTGTCTTAGGGCATCTGAGGGCACCAGGAACACACGTGTAGGGATATATATGCAGGTCAAATACCCACTGAAGTAAAGTAATTTTTTAAAAAAGACTTTACGTATGAGCCTAGGTATAGTGAGTGGCACACACTTGTGATCTCATTGTTTGAGAGCCATGGCCTGCATTATTTTTAGGAAAGGCCTCAAGCTGGCTGTGGTGGCACACCCAAAGGTGAAATAAAGTCTGAAATTGAAGGTCATCGTTTTCTATAGCAACATGAGACCATAAGTCAAAAGACAAACCCCAAAATACCTTTGTCTCAGGGACTGGGGATGTAGCTCAGTGATGAGGATTGCCTAACATGCAGAACAATTTATGCCCTGAGTTCCCATCTAACACTGTAAGAAGTTGCACATTAAGGTACTTTTGTTCTAAGTCTATTTCAACTAAACACTTGCCATGTTCACATAAAATGAGTATGTAATAGCTATAGTCTTGAATGATATAGCCTTGGCTGGACATGGGCATGCCACCATGCCAAGCTTCTTTAATCATTTAAAAGCTGCTTTTTAATGAAAATGTAAATCAGATAAACTCAAGATTGGTCTGAATAATACTGTAGACATACTATTCAGAAACCATCTTACAAAGCCCAAGGAATCAAAATCCGGCATTAAATATATGATCTAAGCTGGGCTGTGGGGTGCACACAGTAGGCAGAGGCAGGTGGATCACTGAGTTCAGGCCAGCCTGGTCTACAAAAACTGAAAAAGAAGAAAGAAAGTGATCTAGCTGCTCTAAGAGATTAAAAACACCAAAGGTGCTAACTAAAGGGTTTTCTCCTGTGTGTATACTTAGACAGATCCTGTCATACAGCCCAGGCTAGCCTTGAACTTGATGTGGTCTTCCTGACTCAGCTTCTTGTGTGCTAATTTTATAGCTAGATACCACCAGCACATCTGCCTTTCATGTTTTAATAATCAATTCTTTTATCATTTTTGAAAAACTTTCTAAGATTTTGGGTAAATGGATTGGAGGAATGGTAAAAGCTGTTATGTAGCTGTTGTGTTATGTAGTTATGTATTATGTAGCACAAATTCTAATTGATCTTAGTAAAACTTAGAATCAGATATTAGGGGATGAAACCTGAGAGATCAGAAAAGCAGAGTAGACAGCCACTCTACCAATGCTCATACTGAAGGGGCAATCCTATCTCTATGAATCCTCAGATTGAACCCTCAAGATTGCATCTGAGCTCCTGTCTCCTTCCATAGCTCCTCTCCGTCCAGCTATATCTCTTCCCGTCTCCACCTCCTTAGTGCTAGAATTGAAGGCATGTGACTCCCATATACTTGGATTAAAGGTGTGAGCCAACATTGCCTGGCTGTTGCTCTTTGATACTGAATCAGTCTACTATATAGCCCAGGGAGGCCTTGAACTCAAAGAGATCCTTCTGCCTCTGCCTCCCAAGTACTGGGATTAAAGGTATGACCACTGTCTGGCTTCTTTGGCTAATTAGTGGCTTAGCTCTGCACTCCGATCTTCAGCCAAGCTTTATTAAATTACAAACAAAATATTACTATACTGATAGTTCATACAGTCAAGTATTACAAATACCTAGAATACTCTGATACATACCTAACTCAGATTATATTATATTTAAAGGGAAATTCTGCTTATAACTTGGCTATAAACCTATACAAATATTAAACATTCCCTTTGATTTTAATCTGACAGAGGCACTGGGTACTCACTGTAACTTGTAAGTGCTCAAGTCTGAGAATGCTAGTATTGAAAGTTAAAGAGGTTACTTTTTATAAGCAAACACTACTCCAGAGGCTGAGGCAGGAGGGTCACAAGTTCATAGCCAGACTGAACTTAATGAGACACTTGTCCCAAAAAGAAAAAAGCTAGGCAAGGTACACACTTTTAATCCTGGCACACCTTTAATATCAGCACTAGGGAGGCAGAGGCAGGCAAATCTCTGAGTTAGAGACTAACCTGGTCTACAGAGTGAATTCCAGGACAACCAAGGCTACACAGAGAAACCCTATCTTGAAAAAACAAAACAGTGTAGAGAGGGTGCTACTAACGACAATGCAGTTCAGTCACATGTTACTCTTGGTAAACATAATATGTTTTCAATTCTCAAACTCTGGGGTGAAAGCAATAACAATCTTTAATTTTTCATTAAACTCAGTCTAAGATAGAGTGAGAATGAGTTCAGAATAAATGAAGATCAGAAATAATCAGGAAAACCTTATGAAATAATTTTCTTGGCAAGAGACCAAACTGGGACAGGCCATCCAGTTTGCCAGGGTTGTGTGTACTTACAGTTTGCCGAGCTGCTTCCCTCTGCATGCATCACTAACAACGACGTCTTCTACCCTCCCTCTCTGCAAACAAGCACAGTTGGACAAGATGAGCCTTCAGCCTATTTTCCACTAAGCTAGCAAGTAAGAGTTACAATTCCAGTCTTTATTATAGCTCCAATCCCAATCACCATAATGTAATCTTGTCATAAAGATAGTATTCCAGCTTGTTGCTTAGTAACAATTTACCAATTTCAAGTGCAGAAAACAAAACCAATAACCCACAGAGTGCTTTATTTAGTTTTTGTTTTGGGGGACAGGGTTTCTCTGCAGCTCTGGCTGTCCTGGAACTCACCAGGCTGGCCTTGTCTCCTAAGTGCTGGGACTAAAGGTGTGCACCTTCACATTTCTAAATGACCCCCCCCTTTTTTTTTACATTCAGAAAGAGAAAGTATGAGTCAATGTGTGAGAGTGTATATGTGTGTGTAGAGGGAGGGCATCTGTAGAGGTCAAACTACAACTTATAATTGTTGTCTCCTTCCACTATGTGGGTCTCAGGGATGGAACCTTGGGTGGTTAGGTTGAGTGGCAAGTACCTTTACCCCTTGAGCCACTTCACTGGTTCATCTATTTGATTAGATTATAACTCACAAAAATGTCAGAAAAGTGTCTTCTACTAAAGAATTCCAGCAATGAAAAATTACGGGAAAGCTGATTTTGCTAATGAAGCTTCCAAGTTGGTTTCATTAGAAATCATCTGTGCATTTTACTCATAGACATTAATGTGAGCACATACCTTAGCACATGAATGGATAAATTTATGTTCTATTATCAGAGTTGCTGTAGCAACAATTTGTCCTAGGGTCACATCTTCCACAACTGTAACATAGTAATCCCCAGACTTCTTCATATGCTCAAAAGATTCTGTGAAAATGTCAAAAAAAAAAAAAATGTGTTAGATAGTGAACATTCTATTTTATTAAATTCAAGAAAAATACTAGGCTTGTCTGACTTCATCTTTAAATATTAAGCTGTTTTCCCACAGGGCTTTAGTTTCCACTTTTTAAAAAAAAAAACAAAGCAAGTGAAATAGACTGTACATAAGATATTTATTTATTTGTTTGTATGGAGACAAGGTGTCACCATGTTGCTCTGGCTATTCTAAAACTCACTGTGTAGACCAGACTGGTTTCAAAGAAGAGACCCATCTGCCTGCCTCTGCCTCCCAAGCTCTGGGATTAAAAGTGAACACTACTACACCAGGCTAGTTTAAACTTACAAAAGTACTTTTATTTATTTAAAACGCCGGGAAGCAGAAACACCAGCAATCAGCACCGAGTGGTCCATACATTTAAAGTCAGCTGTTGTTAGAGCATGGGGAGAGCTTGTCCTCTGTGCCGGAAACACACATATAATCTGGTAGCAAAGTTAAGACTCGGGAATATTTTAGATGAACAACACTATTACAGATAAATTGTGTA